TACCACACAGCACGCCTGTGCCATGTGCAAGATCATCTGTGTGCAGAGTCTGAGTATCAAGATCTAAAACTTTGGTCTTAGGTATGATTATTTAGAAGATGCTCTGTTAAACAAATGAAGAGACAAGGAGCTAATGTGTTATATTACAGAAAAAGTAAGCTAAACTTTCTGTATTAGAGCTGTTCTATGCCAGGTACCTCTGCTTAAATACAGCAAATACTTCATTTTAAAGGACTGGCACTGGCAAATCATGGAAGGTTTAGGGCCTTGCCTTTTAGGTGTCCGTGCTGAGGCCTTTTCCTCCCTTAAAGCATTAGGCAGAAAAATTGCAGCACCCCAGAAAGGGATGAAGATGTTTAATTAAGACGCAAAATCTGTTCCTACAGCCCAGCAGTTGCTGTTTTAGTCACTTAGGACTTGTTTTATTAGGCCCTTGCCATCATGGAGTACTTATTTTGGTAACAGAGGTTCTTGTGTGGCACCTGTGTAGAAGTTGGTCTTAGTCTTTCATGTATATTTTTTACCAGCCACACTGATAAGCTGCTGTGCACGTAGATGGCAGAGATACAAACACACCTTTCCAGAGTGGACTCTTTATGTTGTATCACAGACATCCATGACCTTCATTATGTGCTTTAGAGCACTATGAGTGTTGAAATGCACTTTCTCAAGCAGTTTCCTTCTGTTAACTATTTTTCCCCACAGGCCATCTGGAAATGGTGAGGTTTCTGCTGGAAGCTGGTGCAGACCAGGAGCACAAGACAGATGAGATGCACACTGCTCTCATGGAGGCGTGCATGGTAAGAGACGTAAGGCTCGAGCAGTGAGGTCTGTGGGCTCTCTTTTCTTGCTGAAGATGGAGAAAGTGGTTCCTTTGAGTTTCCTTCTGGCACAGAATCTAACTGTGATGTTTTGGTTCTCTTGTCTGCTTCATGGGAAGTTAACTTGATTGTTAAACTGAGAATTATTTTCTTAAATTTTCTTTTGATCCTTCTCTCCAAATAGATTCCTCATGTGTTGGGATTTTCATGGCATTATTAGACTTGTGTAATGTCACACTGTGAGCCCGTGGCTGTAGAGGAGGGCAGTGAATCCCTGTTTAGTCTGCCCTTCCCTGAAACAACTGCAATGGTTCTAAACCGGCCAGTTGTGTCTGCTGAAAGGAGTTAATGGTTTCAGATGGGGGAATGATTAACAGAAACCATTACACTTCTTGAAAGTTGTTCCAAAGAAAGTCACGTAGGTAAACAGAACTCGAGCTGTCCTTTATCTCACCCTGAAATCTTACTAGAGCAGCTGCATGAATATCCTTGGCCATGGTCTTGCAGCCAGTTCCTGGGAGTTGATGATAAAATGGCCTTGTTTAATGTTGCAGTTGCCTTCTCATCAGGATGTTTTTTGTGGCGAAGCTATGGATCAAGCCTTCCTTTCCTTGTCCTTCTCTTCTGCCCTTTTAACTCTTCTAATAGACTAAAAAAATTCCATCAGACCCACAGAGGATGTTAAGACCTAATTTTTGTTAAAAATTACTGAGCAGTAGGAAAAAAATTCTTCTCCCTTATTCCTGCAGGAAGCTGTTCCTAGGGAGGCAGTTCCACGCTGGTGCTCAGAACTGGCAGATAGTTCAGTCTCATACCTCAGCTCTGCTGAGAGAAGGAGCAGCTTTCTCTAGCAGTATTTAAAAGCCTTGCAGTGTGAAATGAAGCAGAGCAAAGACTTCCATCTCAGCATGTTCTTTGTGCAGAAACAGTTACTGCTCTTCAGTGGCACAAGAAAACTTCCTTCTCTGGAACAGCTTGGAGCTTGAATGTGTGCTCACAGAATTGTCTGTCTGTGGCATCGCCAGTGCAGGTTTAAACCCTTCTGCAGCCTTGTGGGTTCAGGAAGACTTGTGCCTGAGAGTTTTTTCAGACAGCAGTTAATACTGATTTAATGCACAGCAGGTGTTGGACAGTGGCACTGCCTTGTGGGAGCAGAAAGCAGGGTGATCTAGTTGGTGTTTCCTCTCGCTGAAGGACTGCTGCCCACAGAGCTTCAGCTTTAAAATGCAGCTGATGATCTTGTGAAGATTGCTCAGGTGACTTTCCCTGTTCCCTTAGCAGTTGGTAGGCTTTTCCTGGCTGTTGTAGGAGAGCTCAGCAGCCCCAGCCCACTGCAGGGTTTATTAAGGCATGGATGCAGTTCCTGTATGTGGTGGGGCTGCAGCAGTTCTCCTGCAGGCTGCTTGGCCCACATAGGAAGCTTTGAAGCACCCTGGGTGCTGTGTCGTGCCATCCTCAGCCTGGAGCAGGGGTGAGCAGGTAGCTGTCTTGCCAGAGCCTGATGGATGAGGCACTGTCTCTGCATTTCCCTGAGGAAAGATTCTTTATGGAGGCTTGGAGTTTTTCCCTAAAATAGTTCTGTCATTTCATGTAAAAGGTGAATATGTCCTAGTTAATGTCCTAGATATTTTTCCGAGAGGAAGCCGTGCTTTGCTCCCTGGATATCAGAATAAGGTATGAAACCCTTGAGAAAATGAAGCGGAAAAATGTCAGATGCAGTTTGGTGTTTTGTCTGGAAAAGAGCTTTTTGGAGTTGTGGTTTCCAGCTTGGCAAGGATGGCTGTGGATGAGATTTGCTGCCTCTTAGGAACTGATCTGAAATCAAGGTGTACTTACCTCATTCAGAGACAACCTTGGGAATGCCTTGTGTTCCTGGTGAGTGGCTGTTTATTTGCTGCAGCCCTCCAGTGTTTTGTTTGTCAGGTTTTGGTTCCTCCAAGTTGGAACTGTGGCCATCTCCTCATGGAGAAAACCAGCTTGGACACTTCTTGCTGTTGTTGGAGCGCAGCGACCCAGCCAGGCACTGCTTCTGTCTGAACAAAGCCGTGTGGAATGGCAATTGGACGTGTCACTGTCAGGCCTCCAGTGTAAACATGGAGCTGAAAAGCCACTTCAAATAGTTCCTGACTTTATGGAATACTGAAAATGAGGCGGAGATCCTGTGTTGAAGTATTTTGCAAGGAAGAAAGCAAATTGAAGAGCTGCCTTTTGGTAGAAGGGGTTGGATCACAGTGGAGCATGATCACGGTGTCTGGAAAACCCTGCCAGAATGCTGCCAAGGGAAAGCTGTTGCTCGGGTGGGTGGCTCCTGGGATGTGTAAGGAACCCCTGACAAGTGGTCTCATTTTGGCTTTTCACTTGGAAGGAGAAAGTAAGTGTTGACTCTGCTGTTAAATTGAGCAGTGAAATAGTTTTGCAGGGGCCATGAGGAAAGCCCAGGTCAGTGTGCATAGCTGCTTCGTAAGGAAGGGAGGAAGCAAAAGAATCTCACTGTTGTTCTTGTGGAGGAGACAAGCTTCTGAAATAGTCATGAGCTCCCTCTTGACTTTCTGGGCTTTATTTTGGAGTTCCCCCCGCCCCAAGGAAGTTGATCCCAAACACCTGAACTGGAGTCTGATACAAAGTTGTCCAGCTTGTTGCTTACACCATTGACAGAGAGGTCTGATATGAGGTTCACAGCACATATTTAGTAAAATGTGCTCAGCATTTCTACAGGTGTGTGTTCAGTAGGAGACCTTATGCTTTATCCAAATACTTAGGGAAAAGAGTCAGAAAAACTGTTCATTGTATTTTTGGACTCATTTTACTCCCTCGTGGCTTTTTGTGTATTTTGAGGGAATTTGAGTGTGTGGCAAAACCACGGAGAAAAGCAGTTTTTCCATTTGGTCACTCTTCTGATCTTATTTTGTTTTTGCTTTTGCAGGATGGTCACGTGGAAGTGGCAAGGTTACTCCTGGACAGCGGAGCTCAGGTGAACATGCCTGCCGACTCCTTCGAGTCCCCTCTGACCCTGGCAGCCTGTGGTGGGCACGTGGAGCTGGCAGCTCTGCTGATTGAACGTGGAGCTAACTTGGAAGAGGTCAATGACGAGGGATACACGCCGCTGATGGAGGCAGCTCGGGAGGGCCACGAGGAGATGGTGGCACTGTTACTTGGGCAAGGTAACTGCTGCTCAGCAGGCTGGGGAAGAAGCTCTGGGCTGCTTTGATTTTTGCTTGCTTTGGTTATAAGATGCCTTGTGCATGTGGAGGTGGTGTGTGTGCTGATGCTGCCCTCTGTAACCGCTGTTCTGTGGTGTTTGCAGGAGCAAACATCAACGCTCAGACAGAGGAGACGCAGGAAACCGCGCTGACCCTGGCTTGCTGCGGAGGGTTTCTGGAGGTGGCCGATTTCCTCATTAAAGCGGGAGCTGACATAGAGCTCGGCTGTTCCACACCTTTGATGGAGGCTGCTCAGGAGGGGCATTTGGAGCTGGTCAAATATTTATTAGCTGCGGGTATGGAGTCCTTTTGTTAATGCTTTTGTAAATGCTTAATCTAAAGAGAAAAATGCTTTGTCCGATAGTCACGACATCTTCTTTAGCTGCTTCTTGAACTTGACTGTGAAGGTCTTTGAAGCCCAAAGTAATTTACTGGTTGGACTCTAAATTAGCTTTTGAAGATTGAGTTGATGTAAACTTGTTTGGAGCTAACTTGCAGTTTGTTTTTATTCCTCTTAGAGTACAGTCAGGTTATCAGTTTAATAGATGCTGGATTGGAAGGGGGAAGCTTCATTTGCTGTTTGATCCTGTAAGGATTGTGGAGGCTTGTATGTTTTCTGTAATGCCCATCATAAAGCTTCCAGTGTTTTGTCCTTGCTGTTTCAGGGGCTAATGTGCATGCCACAACAGCAACAGGTGACACGGCACTGACGTACGCCTGTGAGAATGGCCACACTGATGTAGCAGACGTCTTACTTCAGGCAGGTGCAGATCTGGTAAGTCATTTACCTTCCTTAAAAATGTTAGTAGGATATTAAATTATCAGCATCTGATATTCTTCCTGTTTCTGTGTTCATTGGTGAAAATTTACACATTCTTTAATGTATTTTGGGCTGTTAGATTCCCCCAAAGTACAGAGGTCAGTTACGGTCTTCTGGTGATTGATGTCTAAAGCATTTCCAAGCCATTCAAGGTTGCCTGGACAGGAAAAGAGGAAATTTGATTCTTTTGATGTGGTACTCAGCTTCAAATTGTTGAGTTGATTCTGGGCTAGTCCTTGTACCTGCAAATCTGTTCTATTCCTTATGCATCAGATAGTTGACAGTCTGTTTGGTGTGCTGTAATGGAATTAAGATGATGGAGGTAAACTGGTTTTTCCTTTTCAGTACACCAGTGTGTTATCAAAAAGTGATGTTAGGCATGTCAGAAGATGTCCTGCTTAACTAAAATCCCCCTCATGTGCCTTGAATGCTTTTTGTCCAGGAGTCCCACCTGTGCAGAGACAGGTGGTGAATGGTTCATCTGCATTCAAGATACCCTCAGTTCAGACATTACTGAATATTTATGGCTAAGTGTGTGAAACAGTAGAGAAGGATGTTCCATGGCTAGCATCTTTCCATTCAAAAACTCAGGGGGCTGGCTTGCCTTCTTTCACATGCCACTTTGGATTTTGAAGCCTTTCTTTATCTGCTCTAGGAGCATGAATCAGAAGGTGGAAGAACCCCACTCATGAAAGCTGCCAGGGCAGGTCATGTTTGCACTGTTCAGTTCTTGATTAGCAAAGGTAAGAATGTGGAATGGTTTGGGTTTTCCTGACATTAGAAATACTTCAAGTTAAGAACATGTCAGAGCTAGCGTAACTTCGTTGGATTTGTTTTAAATGTCCTAGCTCCAGTAGGCATTTGATTCTCCAACTAGGCATGCAATGATTACCTGTGGCTTCTGCTGAGATTAGTGGAACTGCATGTAGTTGTAAAAATAGTGTAATTCATTCAGTCTGTAATTCCTAGTAAAAGCAGCAGTATTAGGGATCCCTGGGGTCTCCATGGCCCATGGTGCAGCTTTGGAGCACGGTATTTGGCAGTTGAGCTACAAGTCCCTTTTGGTTTCCAGAGTTTGACTGTAGTTTGCTTGATGTTTCAATACAAACCAGGAATTTCCATTTTCCTTCTCCTGGGCTGATTGTCACGAGTTTTCTTGTCCCTACGTTGTATGGAGTAGGAGGTGGCAGGATGGAGTTTTCCCTGTGTAGAAGGCAGAGCAGTTAGGTGTGTTAGATTTGACAGAGGTGCTGCCCGTTGCAGCGAGTTGCAGCTGATGTTTCCCTTGTGTTTGTGCAGGAGCGAACGTGAACAGGACCACAGCCAACAACGACCACACGGTGCTGTCGCTGGCCTGTGCCGGAGGCCACCTGGCCGTGGTGGAGCTGCTGCTCGCTCATGGTGCTGATCCCACACACAGACTCAAGGTTTGGCCCTCCCCTCCCTCGTTCTCCTCCGAAACTCAGGATACCCAGCTGGCTTTTCTCCTTTTGTGCTCCCTACAACTCACCCAGCCTGGGATGATTTAAGTGGGAGTTTGCACAAGCAGATGTTCTGCTCGTGTATGTGTTGTTGGAGTTAGTGCAGGTCTCTTGATCGTCATGAGTATAAAGTGCTGATTGTGGAAGGGGAAAAATTTTTAAAGTATTATGAAATTTTTTTTTAATACTTCATCTAGCCTGTAAGTTTAGATGTGAGCTTGTGGAGATGGAGTATTTACTAGAGCAGAAAGCAGTCCCATAGGTAGTGTGTTGTGTGTCCCAAAATGCTGCAGTGCAGTTTTCATGATGCTCTGTTCTAACTGGGTGCTCTTTCCCTGTCAGGATGGATCGACCATGCTGATCGAGGCGGCCAAAGGCGGTCACACCAGCGTGGTTTGTTACCTCCTAGATTACCCAAACAACTTGCTTTCTGCTCCTCCACCTGATGCCACTCAGCTGACCCCACCATCCCATGACCTCAACAGGGTAAGGTTCCAGGGCTCATGGTATGCATGGTCTTTTTGCACTTGGTGACTCAAGAGTTTAAAGGTGAGAGAAGAGTCCATCATGTCCTATCGTAAACTGTAGGTGAGCACACTTAAAATTGCTTAGAGTTGCAAATCTGTTCTATTCCTTACGTATCAGGTAGTAGACAGTCTGTTTGGTGTGCTGTAATGGAATTAAGATGATGGAGGTAAACTGATTTTTACTTTCGGGGAAGACTTTTGAACGTTATGATGTAGTGCTCTCATCATTCTTACTGTTCTCTAAGTATTGCTGGAAAAAAACACCTGAGGGTGGACAAAACCAGCAAGTGCAAAGATCTGCTTAAATGAAACTCTACAGAGTTGAATTTATGGCTTGTATTTGCTGTACTACAGTACAGCACTGTACCAGGCTGAGTATAGTTCTGCAAGTAATTTTTTAGGCTAAAAATACAAAGTATGTGGAGATGACATGATCTGTAGGTGTTAATTATTGAACTCAGCATATTACAAACTATATTGAATGTTGTTAGTCGCCATTAAAGTCTACTTTTCTAACAGATTTTGTTTGCCTTCTGTTGAATTGTAACTGGCACAGAGTATGAGAGAAGTAATCTGTTAGTATCCGACGTTTTAGGCTCCTCGAGTACCAGTGCAGGCGCTGCCCATGGTCGTCCCACCCCAGGAGCCTGACAAACCCCCTGCCAATGTCGCCACAACCCTTCCCATCAGAAACAAAGGTCAGTCCTAGTTCTGCAGCTTATTTTCTAAATATCCTTCCTAGGTAGAAGATAGAGGCTTGCACTTGTAGCAGAGTAGCTCCTATGAAGAGTGTTTATGGATTCAGTCAAGGAAACTGCAATTTTGATTTTTTTTTAATTATTTTTTTAAGGATTTGTTTGTCCACCAAGTCAGTCATCTAAGCCTCTAATCATAAAGCATCAAGAAATCTGCCTAAGTAAATCTGTTAAAATCTCTAGTCTGACACACTGAACTAATGCAGAATGTTACCCAGAAGTCTATAGAAATTGGATAATGGAAGTTGCAAAACCCATGTTAATCTCCATATCATAGTTGATTTGATAACGTGTGTTTCCTTAGGGTAGTAGTCTGGGAGTGGGTTTGACTAATTGGATTGAAGGCGGAATTTCTTGTGCAGTAAAATCTTTAGTCTGATGTGGCTCAAGTCCTCCTAGGACTAAATTTGCATCTATTTTGCTCTCGCCATTTTGACACTTAATGCTTTCTGTACTTAAGAATTCTCGTCAAAAACCAATTTTTATCAAGCATCAGCAGTAGCAAATACAGGCGTGCATGTCCTAAAATTAATCCTGTGTGTACACTTGTATTGTTCTGGAGATACAGCGAGGATGGCTGGAAGAAACTGGGCACCTCCACTGCCTCAGATCCTGAGTTTTGAGTTGCCTTTCGCCCTTCAAAATTAACCGATTGTTGCTTCTCCACCTGGTATGGCAGAGCATGTCAGCTGTGTTACTGGGGACTTCTGCATAAAACACCAGTTGGATTAGTCATCGCTTGTTCTTGCAGGAAGGCTGAAATACTTGCCTTGCCTGGACAGAGAGCTGAGCTTTGACACAGGCAAAATCGAGTCTGCTATGGATAAAACCTAGTGGCTAAAGACACCCTGTTAGGTCCTGCTAAATGTAAATGACAGCCCTGGGTTCTGGCACTCTTTGTCACCTGAGCAGAGCTGGATACCTGGAGTGAAAGGATGCCTAGTTGTAGAGAGCCTAGCACTTGTTAAAGCCTACCAAGTCGGTCGCAGAGCCGGCAGCCTAGTCCCAGTCCTAGAGGTGGTTTTGTGTCCCTCGGGCTGCGCTTTCAGGGCTGTAAGCGTTTGTTTATGTCCCAGCACCACACCAGCCGCAGAACACCAAGTAAAGAGGCAGCACACCCTTGCTTTTTGTTCCCAGTTTCCGTGTGGCAGCGGCTCGAGACAATCGCTTCCTTTGGCAAAAGCGTGCCGATTGCTGGAGCAGCCCTGTCACCGTAGCGCAGGGTCTGTGGGGTGCATGTGCACTGGTGTGGCCTGGTAACTTGCAGTCTGACTGCTGGGTACCCGTTGGCAGGTGTCCTCGGAGGGCCTCGGGGACACGCTGGCCTCCCACGGGTGCCGTGCCACGCAGCGGCCCGGCAGTAGCTCTGTAATGAGGATGCCCTTGGTATGCACTTCCATTGCTTCTGAGGGGGTTTCTTTTTCACACAGCTGCTTCTAAACAAAAGTCCAGCAGTCATTTGCCAACAAACAACCAGGATGTACAGGGTTACATCACCAATCAGTCTCCAGAGAGCATTGTAGAAGAGGCTCAGGGCAAGTTGACAGAGCTGGAGCAGAGGATAAAAGAAGCCATAGAGAAGAACGCTCAGCTGCAGTCCCTGGAATTGGCACACGCCGACCAGCTCACCAAAGAGAAGATTGAGGAGCTGAACAAAACGAGAGAGGAGCAAATTCAGAAGAAACAAAAGATTTTGGAGGAACTGCAGAAAGTGGAGCGAGAGTTACAGCTGAAAACTCAACAGCAGCTAAAAAAGCAATATCTAGAGGTAAAAGCGCAAAGAATTCAGCTCCAGCAGCAGCAGCAGCAACAGTCTTGCCAGCATCTGGGACTACTGACTCCCGTTGGGGTAGGAGAACAACTCTCAGAGGGAGACTATGCACGATTGCAGCAAGTGGACCCCATCTTGCTCAAGGATGACCCTCAGCAAGCTGCTGCGCAGACGGGGTTTGCACCAGTTCAGCCTCTGGCCATGCCACAAGCTTTGCCTCTGGCAGCAGGTTCCTTACCTCCAGGGTCCATCGCAAATCTTACAGAACTGCAAGGTGTTATAGTTGGACAGCCAGTGCTGGGCCAAGCACAACTAGCAGGGCTGGGGCAAGGAATACTGACAGAAACACAGCAAGGGTTAATGGTAGCCAGCCCTGCTCAGACGCTCAATGACACGCTGGATGACATCATGGCAGGTGGGTTTACATTGTTATGAGCAGGTATAATATTTGCTTGACCAGTTGAGGGTATGTCCACTTCTTTTTATGTGTGTGTGTGTGTGTTTGTGTATTCCCACGAGCTCTATGGCAAAGCACCACTCGTCCTCTGATCCCTGTCTCAAGGAGTTGGGAAAAGCAGCTTTTAACTTTTCAGTTTGCAGGGTGAGCCGAGCTGTGCCTGCTGGTCAGGTTGGTATGGCGGAGTGGCATTTTTAACTCGTCATGGTTTGGGGAAGGGTGTATTAAAGTTCATGTGGCAGTTCTGTTTTGGCCTGATTGTAGCTCAGGAGTAGCACCATGATGGTGCTGGGTAGTGCTTTGGGCTAGCTGAGAGCTGACTTGCAGTAGGCTGAGCAGCTGTAGTGCCACAACGAGCCTCTAAAATGTGAGCGACCCGTGGGTTTATCTTCAGAATAAGAGCTGCTCCACTTGGCCTTATGTAGTCTGCTTATTGGAAGCTTTTATTTCTGCTTGGGAAAAAAAAAAGTGATAATCCTATGACTTTCTGAAACATCTCCTCATAAAAATGGCTGCCAGCAGCAAGCATGTTTAGCCTTACCAAACTCTTGTCATTGCTTCAGAGAATTCTCTGCCTGGTGACATGAATGCTCTAAGGCCTTAAGCAGTAAAACAGGAGAATGGAGCAGGTTTTAAATGAGAGTTGTCACTGCTGTTTTAGTTTACACCTCACTCAGTTGTGCTTCATCTGAACCCTTCCCATGCTAAAGCAATCATTGAAATACCCCTTAGCTGAACACAGGTGAGCTGGTAGGACACAGTCTTAAAAAAAGGTCACTGGATGAAAAGGTGCCAAATGCTCTTGGTTAAGCTGATGCACTGTCATTTTTACAAGTGCTGTCCATCTGAACAAGTCTGCTTTGCAGAGCTGCTGGCATGAGGGATGTGTGCCAGGGGAAGGCAGGTCTCAGAGAAAGTGTGGGCCCAGACTGGTGCTGCATGTGCTGCCAGAGCTGGAGCACAGCAGTAGTACAGAGTCATGGAAGGTGTGCTAACTGATTCAACTACCAGGTGGTGATTTTTTAAAGCACTTGGAACACCACTTTTGTGGTGAGACCCCTGATGAGTGACCTTGTGTCCAGGCAAAGCTTCATTAAAGGTGACAAAAACTTCTTTGCTGGAAATCTCGTGTTAGAATTGAAGCATAGGTGTGAAGATTGGAAGTGGATGAAAACACAAACGTAGGCATGAAAAAGTAGATTAAATGGCATATAGCATGCACTGACAGTAACAGATTCTCTCATGGAACTGCTGGGGTGCAGGGCAACATGAATTTAGAAGCTGGGATGTTTGCAGTTGTCGGTAACTTACAAAGAATCTGTGCAATGCACTTGAGTTGTGTTTAAATACAAGTTAACCTGGAGTTAGGACGTGTGGGACCTGTGTTTAGGTGCATGTCACATCCTGAGCAGGTGTCATTCCAGGTCACCTGCTGCATCCCTGCATGCCTGTTTGTGCCTTTTTGGGCAGTCAGGTATTTCCAGTGGGAACTGGAGGGAATATTCTGGTTCTGCTCAGCCCCACTTGTTAGTAGTGCGTGCACACATGCAGTTGGGAAGGAAGTCTGAATTTGTTTTCTGTCCAGTGCCTGTGATTATGGGGTGGGTTTTTTTAGCAAGGACAGACACAGGCCTGAGTGCAGAACTTCCGTGCTAGCCTGTAGTGAGTCCACAAATCACAGTTTAAAATGTGGAGCTGAAATGGGCTCAGTGTAACACACAACGTTTAAGTAGCCACTAAATATTTGGTCAATAACTCCGTGTATTGCTTTAAAAGAAGCTTCTAGTGTATTCTCAGAGATGTAAATTCTTGTTTCAGAGATGCCTTGAGTTTAGTTGCATTGCAGAGCTGTGTTTGCAGCACCAGTTGCAGAAACAAAGCTTCACCTTGACTGTGCAAACTTGATTTTATGTGCATCTCTGTGCTTTATTAGTTGAAAACAATGGCTAACTAGTAAATAATAGTTAATTTTTTCCTTTGGGCTCCTTTATGATCCTGCTGGAGTTGAGGACAAGCAAAAGGTTTGCTCTTGAGCTTCAGATGTCAGGCAAGTTTTTTGCTTGCTGTGAGGCACATAAAAAGAAGTATTTTGTAGGGTTAGTTGTGTAAGGCTTGTATGGAAACATTGCATCTGTTAAGTGATGTGGTAAAGATCCAGGAAGAAAAATCACCTTGTTTTCAATAGCAAGCTTTTTACAAAGTAGGAACCATTCCAAGGATTGTGTCCAGTCACAGAGCTTTGCAAAGAACTTCAGGAATCTTGAAGCTCTTGATAAAATGCATTCCTGGAAGCTCCCTTGTGGGTTGAGTCAGTTGGAAATGCAGCTGTCTGAATGAAAACGTCAGAAAGCAAGCTGCAAGCTTTTCACAGAGACTCAATACTGAAAAAACAAACGGCAACAGCGTGCCAGCATCCCAGGAAAATCAGGTTGTGTCCCACGTGGGGCCTGAGCAGGAGCTGGTTTCACCTGGGGCTGGCCTGCCTTAGGCTGCCTTGTGCACTGGTGACCAGCAGGAATAACAACCACTGATAACCACCAGGGCAGCAGGTGTGCAGGGTTCTCAGCCCCATCCAGGGAGCCCTTTTGCCCAGCAGCAGCCCAGGGTTGGGGCTGGAATTCAGAGCATAACCTGCACTGTTACAGTCCGAGGCATGTTCTGCATCTCAGGTGCTCTGGAGTGATTTTAATCCTGTGTGGCACCAACATGGTTTGTAATGACTGAGGTGCTACACAGGAATTGGGGGCAGAGAAGGAACTGATGTGGAACAAGTCTGTAGAGCTGGCTTGAAACCAGCTGGGAAAAGCTGAGATGTCTCATACATTTCTTGTAAAGTATTTTTTTATTCGGTCCCTCATCTTGCCTCATTGCTGTGTAACGTGGAACAGTTTTTATCTGTCTGCTGTTGACAGTGCAGGAGATGAGGAATCCGTGCATGAGACCAGTGCTGTGCTCACAGCAGGCCAGCCCTGTGGGACATGAGATGGCCACATGAGGGGAATTGGGGTTACAGGGCCGTGTCACTGTGGTGAGGCCAGTGGGCACGGGGCAGGAGGTGGCTGCTCCCAGGGTGGCCTCTTTTCATCCAAGCCAAGAGAGAGCTGAGGTGTGCACAGAAGAAAATCCAGATGAAGAGCAGGTCTGTTCCAAACATCAGTAAGCACAAAAGTGATTGTCTGCTAGCCCAGCAAATGTCCAAGACTGGAACTGCAGTAGTCAAATGGTGCTTGGTGATGTCTTCTGCCCAAGAAGCTTGATGAAGGTGCTCCTGTACCAAGTCTTGTGTATCCTAAACATTCCAGTAGTGACCTAACTTGGAAGACTTGGTTATCCCAGGCATGAAATAAGGAGGTTTGCACGGTGAGGTGCAGACTGGAGTTCACTGTGCCACTAGGCCATCAGAGTAGGGCAAGGAGCAGAGTGCAGAGATAAACATTTGTGTCAGTGTGTTTAGCATGTAGAATCAAGTTGGTTACTCCTCTCAGAGCTGCAGACTGCTCTGAAAACCTTTTGGGTTATTGAAAACTTTGAATATTTTAGTTTGGGCGTCATAAAAATTCTGTTCATCACCCTTAGTGTGTTCATTAGAAATTTGAACTCCACGCAGGTGATGTTGAAATAAATATAATCAAAGAGATTACCCGTAAAAGTGGATATTGTGTCCAGTGAACTGTGCTGTAGGTATCTGAACTAAATTTGTGAATTATTGCTGGAGCACGTCTTTCTTTTTTGGGTTGGTTTGTTCTGTAGTTTGGGGGTGGGGGGCAGTAATTTGGGGTTTTGGTTGCCTTTTCTTCCCTCACTGCAAATGTAAAAAGTAGACTTGATCTCAACTGAGACCTTCTTAACTGACTTGATTTTTTCTTTTTTTTGTCCGGGAATTTACTAATGTCTCCTGTAATAGTGAAGATGCTTCCCAGTCTCCTTTTTGGGATTTGAGCAGGAATTCTTAGAAGCTGTTTAAAACACATGCAGTTTTTGACCTTATGTCAAAATATTTTGGCACATCTTCAGTATGTTAATTTTAATCCATGCCTAGTGTGATTTGTGAGATGATAACTTTTCCAAAGGCACTCAAAGATCTAGATCAAGGGGGTTGGAATTCTGAATTCTGACTTTGGTAGGAAATTTTGTGTAGGAAGTCCAGAAATTAAATCAGTTGTGGGTGTAAAATACAGCAGCCTTGCAGAGATGGGAGCACACAGCTGGGCCTGTTAGGGTACCGGTTTGTGGCATCGGTTGGAAACTGTCCCATTTTGCAGTTTAAAGTGCTTTTGTCAGCTGGAAGGAAGTGTGTGGTGCTGCTTCACCTTGTCCTTGGCTGTTGCAGCTGAGAAGCAGCTGGAGAGGTGGCAGGGGAGGAGCAGGAGCTGTGGTGAGGGGAGCAGGGAGAAGGGAGCTGGGGTTTGCCCTGGGCAGGGCGGCACTCGGGGCTGTCTGTGTCCTGTCCCTGTCACTGGTGTCACCTGTGCTTCCTAACACCTGCAGACTCTGCAGCCTGCTCTTCCAAAGCTTCCCCTTCTCTGGTTTCAGCAGGTTCTGCTGTGTGAGCATCCTGCCCTGTGGCTTTTTTGTTATGTTTGTGGAGGGGTGGGGGTCAAGGCTGAACAGACTTCTACATGAAAACATTGAAACTTTTAAGAAAAATTGCATAGGTACCCGTTGGTTGGACTTGGTCTGCAGCCCTGCTTCCAAAGGTATGGAGCTCCAGGTCCAATTATGGCTGATTTGTTGTAGGAAAGATCTTTGGGTTTAAAAAAAAAAAACAAAAACCTTTTGGTGGGCTTTTGGAATACATGTCAGTCTGATACTTAGCTCTTTCGTTGATTGAATGGAGTAAACCTTTTTCATAGTTCAAATTCTGAGAGTTAAAGGATCAAAGGTTGGGCTCAATGTGTGGAATACATATATTTGTGGAAAACAACAGTTTTTGAGGAGTTCCATCTGTCGGTGGGAATTCATCCCACTGTCCCTTTATTGTCACATTACATTGGGAAGTGTTTTGCTTTGACTTAGTGTGGTTCTTCTGTCCAACAGCAGTGAGTGGAAGAGCATCTGCAATGTCAAACACTCCCACCCACAGCATTGCAACCTCAGTGTCCCAACCTCAGACGCCGACTCCGAGTCCCATCATTTCTCCTTCAGCCATGCTGCCCATCTACCCTGCTATAGACATCGATGCCCAGGTGAGCCTGCACTCCCACAGATGCACCAAGCTGCTTTTTCCTGCATCCTCAGTAATTCACTGGTGGCAAACAGCTCTGCTCTGTAGTGGATTGAGCTCTGGAGACTGGGTTTGCTGCTTTTGGATGGGCAGAGCAACGCCCCCGAGAGTCACAACCCACTTTCCTCTGTGCTCACACCGAACAAAAAAAGGTTTCTGAATAACTAAACATTTGCATTTCTTATTCCTGTGTTGTCAGTGGCATTATGAGAAACAGCAGAGTTGCCTACTGACAGAAATTAAATGTTTTCTGGCCTGGTATCCTAAGACAAAAATAATCCGTAAAGCATTGCACACAGAGTTTTCGGTTGTGCTTCCAAGTTGTTTGCCAGAGATCACGGATGTGTAAAAGTCTTGAAAGTAATAATTGCTGTGATTTTTTTGTTTTTTGAGCAAGAGGAAATAATTCAAGCTCTCATTTCCACTAAGGAAAATACTTTTCTGTATGAAAACAACTGTTAAAAAGGCAGCTTTATTTTGACTTGGAGCTAGCTGGCCATAACCAAAAGCATACACATACTGACTGGCATATGCACAGCTCTGGGCTATACATAACATGACTGAGATTGGGCAGCAGGGAGCAGAGCAAAGGCATGAGATCATTGGGGAGAAAAGGAGAGAAACTTCTGGAAACTCAGCCCTTGCTGCTTAGTTGCTTGTGACACTTGGCTTGGATTGTGCCCTGATAAAGCCTTTGGCTGGAGTGCCAAGCATTAAAGACAGAATGCTTACCTTCATTATACCATGTGAAGGTCACAGTCAAGCAGTGGCAAAGAAGTTAATCTGGTTAGCAGAGCACAGATGAGAGCTCAGTTCTTGAAGAATCTCAGTTCTGGTCAGGATTTCTTCTGGAACCTCCCAGCAGAGCTGCCTTGAGAGGTGGAATCCTGTCATGAACTTGCACAGAGCTGTCAGGGGGGCACCCATAAACCCGCTCTTAGCTTATGGAAGCTTTTCCTTTGGCATGGGTACAGTTATGTTTTGGCTATAGCAGGGGCTGTACTTGAAAAAGCAAGTATTTATCTTGTGTGTATGTCTGTTTGGTTTAGACTGAGAGTAACCATGACACAGCCTTGACGCTGGCTTGTGCTGGTGGCCATGAAGAGCTGGTACAAACCCTGCTGGAGAGAGGAGCTAACATTGAGCACAGGGACAAGAAAGGTGGGTGTCTCACCGTGGGTGGCACTGTGAGCCCTGTCTGCTTTGCCTGTGTCCCACTAATAAATAAATAAATAAATAAATCCCCAGTAACCCTACACTGATGTGAAACCTTCAGGCTTGCTCCTGCAGTGCTGTAACTCGTGTCCTGTTTGCTGTTTCAGGGTTTACTCCGCTCATTTTGGCTGCTACAGCCGGCCATGTGGGGGTTGTGGAAATCTTACTGGATAATGGAGCTGATATTGAAGCCCAGTCTGAGAGAACCAAGGACACTCCCTTGTCTTTGGCTTGTTCAGGAGGGAGGCAAGAGGTGAAGTAAACCTTACATCTCGAGATGCAGTGTGTGAATGACATACTGTGTCAGTACAGTGCAAGAATCTTCCAGAAAAGATTGAGTCACAGAGGATGTGTGTTTAACAAATGTGCAAAGGGCTTCACATTTTCCAATTTACACGTTGCCACATGTCTAATCTAGACTGCTTTTTCTTTTTTGATAACTGGACTGGTGCTGCCAGGTGTCCTCATGAATGCAGTCATTAGTGCCCCATTATGGGACTTTTATCAGCATAATTAAAAGTAGATATGAAAGTGAACACTATCATGAGTATTCTTGCTGAGAATCAGGAGTTAGACACAAATGGGTTACATATATAAGCCTTCTAGTTTTTGGGGAAAGAAACTGGAAAAAGCTGAGCTTTGGGTGGCAGAGATGATGTCAGAACACCCTCCTGCCCAAATTTTGGGTTTGACAGTGTATTTGTTCTGTGATTTCATGGGAAAACATTCTGATTGAGAATTGTGCGGGTCTGATCTAAACTTTTTTAATGCTTAAAACCTGAAAGTGAAGCAAATGTAATATTGCACTGGAAGTGACACTATGGGTTTTCACCTCAGTGTACACGGTGATTTTAAGTTGCCAGACAGTTCAGTTTCTGGTCATGTCCTCTGCAGGAGAGGACAAAAAGCAGGAGTACTTTGTATTCCATATTGAAACTGAATCTGGCTGAAATAATCATGAGGAGATCTGCTTTTTCTTACTCTGCTGTTGAATTTAGTAGATTCATGAGCAGCCATGATAGATTTTTTTTTTTAAAGGACGTTTTACAGTGGCTTTGGGGACACAGGTGTGGCCTCATGAAGGCAAGGGGTATAGTGAAGCAACTGATTAAAGTGCCTTTCTTACCATTGACATCTTCCAACAGAACATTTAGGTCTAAAAAGCGTTTGTGTTGGCTAGATTTGCAAGTTTGGGAGCAAACCAGATGTTGTGTGTTGAAACACTGCAGGTGGTGGAGTTGCTGCTAGCTCGGGGGGCAAACAAGGAGCACAGGAATGTGTCTGATTACACACCTCTGAGCCTCGCTGCCTCGGGTGGCTATGTGAACATTATCAAGATTCTGCTGAATGCTGGGGCAGAAATCAATTCCAGGCAAGTTCCCTTCCCAGCCCTTATCTCGTGTGCTTGCTTGTGAGTTATGTGAGGAAAGCGTGTGTGTTTTCCCTGTGTAGTTTTCTCTGTGTGTGTGCATTTATGCCGTGCTTTTGCATCTGTTGGGAGGCAGAAAACAGCTCAGGTGTGAGCTGCAGGGGTACAAGGAAAGGGCCAAGCACAGGCTGTAAGTCATAAGCACACCTCAAAAGAGATGCCCTTCAATTTGAAGCCATCAAAAAGTAAAAGTGCAGTCTCTAAAGTAGAAACACCTGTCCAAAACCATACTTGCTGTGGAGAGCCTTTTGTAGGTTCAGTAGAAGCTGGTATGCAGCTGATTTTTCAGTGCGTGAATTCTCTGCCTCCATTAGTTTATTATAGTCACATTTCTGAAATGACCTTTAAAACAGTTGTGGTTCTTTCTTCTCTTTCAGAACTGGCAGCAAATTGGGCATTTCTCCCTTGATGCTGGCAGCCATGAATGGGCACACTGCTGCTGTCAAGCTGTTACTGGACATGGGCTCTGATATCAATGCCCAGATCGAGACCAACAGGAATACAGCTCTGACTCTGGCCTGTTTCCAGGGAAGAACTGAGGTGGTCAGCCTGCTGCTTGATAGAAAAGCTAACGTGGAGCACAGAGCCAAGGTAAAGAGCAAACAGCCGGAGGTGGAGGGGGCTCCAGAGGGAGGTGCTTGTAACTCATGGTGTCTGCATTGGTACCTGATTTTCTTGCCTTTGTGCAAGTCAATTTCTCTAGGTCAGTTCTCCAGTCCAGTGAACTAAACCAGATATCATATAGAAAAAAAAATGGCTGCATTTAAGGAGTAAGATTTTGGTGGTTGCAAAGCTCATGAAAAAATGTGTTTCTTCAAATAAATGTTGATTCCTCTTGTGGTTGCTTACAAGCATAAGAACAGTAACCCAGGTAAGCCACTCTCCCCCACTAATGGCTCCTGTGTGCTTGTCGCAGACCGGCCTGACCCCGCTGATGGAAGCGGCCTCTGGGGGATACGCGGAGGTGGGCAGGGTCCTGCTGGACAAAGGCGCCGATGTCAACGCTCCCCCCGTCCCTTCGTCCAGAGACACAGCTCTAACCATTGCAGCAGACAAGGGGCACTACAAGTTCTGTGAGCTCCTCATTAGCAGGTATGCTGTTGGCATGGGAGCAGCTTGAAGGGAAACCTGGCTGTGTTTACGCTCCATTGTCCCCATGTACAATCTGATTTCCAAATAGCCAGCAGGGGATCAAGAAATGGGAAAGGTTCTGTGTGTCTTTTGACTGCTGTCACATAATTTAATTTATCCCAAGGACCCAAATGAAGTTCTTCTTGGGGTCAGAGTGCTTCCTGTTGCCTAAACGCAGGGTTTTGATGGCACGTGTTTGGTTTGTAGGGGAGCTCACATCGATGTGCGGAACAAGAAGGGCAATACTCCCCTGTGGCTGGCAGCAAATGGGGGGCATCTTGATGTGGTCCAGCTGCTGGTCCAGGCTGGAGCTGACGTGGATGCAGCTGATAACAGGAAAATAACTCCTCTCATGGCAGCCTTCCGAAAGGTAGGTGGTGGAGTTCAGCTTTTCTCTTAGCTGGGATTGTCCTGTTCATCCCTACATAGCTGTTAGAAATAGAGCACACTGACAGAAGCTACATATTTAATAATATCTCAGTTAATTTGAATATTTGGCATTGAATCTTCAGAAACAGGTACATGTGTCCCCTGTGTAATGCCGGTGTTCAATTCTAATTGCAATTTGCTCTATAGGCAGTGAAGTGAGTCTGGTTCTGCTGTGTGAGGGGTGAAATTTGCAGGGTTTCTGTGGGATAGAAGTGGGGGGAAATAGGATTGGTTCCTTAAGTTAGAGAGGGTGAGGACTTTGGTCAAAAAAAGTGCAGTTCAGCCTGATTTGAGTCTACAGATGGCTTCTGTTAGTAAGGGAGTGTAGTTGAGGTGATGCAGTACTGGAAACATTGCAGATAACTGTGGAAGCCTGTAGGTGTTAAGCTGTTAGAGATGGGCAGCTGAAAACTGAAAACTGCCCTAAAAAGGCAGAAGTTTTTCAAGTACTTCTGGAGTAAGGGCAGCCTGATGAGAGGTAATTACTTGCCTTCTCTGGTGGCAGAAATGTGCCTCACTAGTTGAGGTGGTGAGAAAGATGTCAGAAAAAGCATTGAGAGTTTCATGTGGTGAGGGGCTGGAAGTCAACCTTTTGCAAGGAGCGCTGGGCTGAAGTGTTTGTCAGTAAGGCAGAGGCAGCTGGTCTGATGGAAAGGGCTGTGCTTGCACTGTGTTTTGCAGGGCCACGTGAAGGTGGTGCGTTACCTGGTGAAGGAGGTGAACCAGTTCCCCTCAGACTCGGAGTGCATGAGATACATTGCAACCATCACTGATAAGGTAAGCTGGGGGCAAGGCAGCACCTGACAAGGAGCAGTACTGTGTGTCAGCCTCAGACAGTGAGCTGACCTCTCTTGGGCTCATTGGCCACCAGCTTTCAGCCACAACACGAGTCCCATTGGAATTTCTGGGGAAAAGCAGCAGGAAATGAGAGCACTGGCACTTTGTTCTCAATGCACTTTGTCATTTCAGGAGATGCTGAAGAAGTGCCACCTGTGCATGGAGTCAATTGTTCAAGCCAAAGATAGACAGGCTGCAGAGGCCAACAAAAACGCAAGCATTCTTCTAGAGGAACTGGACTTGGAGAAGGCAAGTGCAAAGAGTTGCAGCTGGGAATATTTCTCTTAAAATTCCTATTTCATGTGCCTTCATGATGATAAGGTTGGTAACAGTAGTTATTGGGATACAGGAGTGTGTGTAATGACCATAATTGGAGTGTCCAGAGCTGAGCATCTTGCTGTTCAGGTCATCTTTGGACTTTGCTGTTGTTCAGAGTAATTGGATCAGGAAATGCCAATATAACTATTTCCTCTGTACCAAAAGAAGGATTTCTGAATGTGATTTGTCAAAAAAAAAAGAATGTGGCATTTTCTAGTCACACTCATATGGATTTTAGGTCTAAACCAAATTTGGTGTCCTAAATATTGAAAAATTTAACTAATTTACTAAAAGCCATGGTACTGTAATAGAAGTAAAACAGAAAAATCAAAGGAAATAAAAAGCATTTGGATTTCTTGAAATGCATGGGACATCTTGTAATGCTGTTCCATGTGCTTAACTTGTAGTTAAGGGAAGAAAGCAGGAGACTGGCTCTGGCTGCCAAAAGAGAGAAGAGAAAAGAGAAAAGGAGGAAGAAAAAAGAGGAACAAAGGCGAAAACTAGAAGAAATAGAAGCAAAAAATAAAGAGAATTTCGAACTCCAAGCTGCTCAGGAGAAGGAGAAGTTAAAAGCTGAAGGTGATTACTGCAATTATTCCAAGGAAAGAATGAAATTCGGTATGAGCTGGTATGACATCTGTAACAGATTTATGGATGTCTGATAGTCAAGGGTTTTGTGTGTTTCTTGGAGCTTTGCAAAAAAGTTAGTCCTAAAGTTTTTTGACAGGACAGGTGTGATTTGGAAAGCAAAACACTCAGGTTTCCTCAAACCAGTTAAGTTACTCCTGCTTTTTCTTTCCTCTTGTATCAGATGATCCCGAGGTCCCAATGGAGCCTCCCAGTGCTACCACCACCACTACCATAGGTATATCTGCAACCTGGACCACGTTAGCAGGCTCTCATGGGAAGAGGAATAACACCATCACCACCACGAGCTCCAAGAGGAAAAACAGGAAAAACAAAGTGACCCCTGATAACGTGCAGATCATATTCGATGATCAGCTTCCCATCTCCTATAGCCAGCCTGAGAAGGTGAATGGGGAGTCCAAGAGCAGCAGCACTAGTGAGAGCGGTGACAGTGACAATATGAGGATCTCCAGCTGCAGCGATGAGAGCAGCAATAGCAACAGCAGCCACAAGAGCGACAATCATTCCTCCACAGCTGTCACCAGCACCCAGAGCAACAAAAAGCAACCGTCGGTGCTCGTCACTTGTCCGAAGGATGAGAGGAAAGCAGTGCCTGGCAAGTCATCCATCAAGTGAGTTCCTGTCACCCCAGATGCAAAGTGCGAGTCATCCTGTTCTTCTCCCCCACATAATGACAGCATTTCACTCCTTTTGCAGGTTGTCTGAAGTTATTAATGAAGTGACAAGCAATTCCTTGTCTACTTGCACAAAATCCGCTCCTTCTCCCCTTTCTTCTCCAAACGGAAAGCTAACCATTGCTAGTCCTAAACGTGGTCAGAAAAGGGAAGAAGGCTGGAAGGAAGTTGTGAGAAGGTAAGCAAAGTAATTCCCCTAATCCCCTTGGTGCTGTCCTTTGTGTGGCCTTCCTTGGAGTTACTGAATGGCCTTCTCAGTGGGTTTGAGCTGCTGCTGCCTAAGTTGAATTAGAAAATACAGTGTTCTTTTGACCACCTTGCCCACAGCTTTCTGCTATGCAAGTGTTTCCTACTTAATATTGTTTCTGGTTTTGTGTAGATCCAAGAAGGTTTCTGTGCCATCAACTGTGATTTCCAGAGTTATTGGCAGAGGAGGGTGTAACATCAACGCGATCCGTGAGTGCACGGGAGCGCACATAGACATTGACAAACAGAAGGATAAAACTGGAGACAGAATCATCACCATAAGGTGGGTGAGCAGGATCCTGCATTGGCTCTGTCTGGTGGGTATTTTCTCCTTTTAGAAAGTTGGTCTGCATAGCAAAATTAAAGGCTTGATCTGGTTGTTCCTTGTAACATCCCTTGAAAGCAGGGGAGAGGAAAGGGGTGGGGAAACAGTACAAGCAGCAGCAGGTACACAAGACGGCTTGTGAGAAAATAAATGTTGGGATTCTGTGTGGGGGCTTGCTAATACATGGTGAAATATGAAAGAATATTTAGGGAAGCAAATATTTTATCCATTTGAGTTTTTTGGGATTTGGGGTGTTTTAAACTTAATTTCTTGAGTAATTGTCTGCAGCAGGACTGTGCTAGGCTCAGTTTTTGAATAGAGAGTTATTTTCCTGTTTGTGTTAGGGTGATAGAAGACAGGCTGGATCCTGTGTGGGAGGGCTGTGTGTATAATGTGTGTAAATACTTTGGATGCACTTTTCCCTGTCCTTCCTTTCTGTAGGGGTGGCACAGAATCAACCAGACAGGCCACACAGTTGATCAATGCTCTCATCAAGGATCCAGACAAGGAAATCGATGAACTTATTCCAAAGAACCGTTTGAAAAGCTCAACTGTAAACTCCAAGATAGGGTCCTCGACACCTGCCGCCACCACAGCTGCTAACAGTTCTCTCGTGGGCATCAAAGTGACCACCGTAGCCGCTTCGTCGGCATCTCAGACGGCCTCCGCGCTCACCGTGCCTGCCATCTCCTCAGCGTCCGCTCACAAGGGCATCAAGAACCCCGTGAACAACGTGCGGCCCGGTTTCCAGGTCTCGCTGCCGCTGGC